TCCTCCTCCTCCTCCTCTAGTTCCTCTAGTTCCTAGAAAGCGTGGTCGGCTCGGCTAACCACGCCCGCCCATTCAAGATAGGATCCGCCCCGAAGCCGATGGCCCGACCCTCACGCTTCGGGGCACGGAAAGGTTTTAGGGGCCAGCCCCCCCCCCCCTCCCAGAATTCCTCTGTCCTCGGGGGCGGCCGCCAAAAACCCAGGCTCGGCCCCCGTGGGCCTCGGACCAGGGGCCGAAACGCGCAAGGGCGGAAAAGGCAGACCAAGAAAAACACCAGACTCGGGCTCCCGACCAGACAGCAGGCACCCCAGGGTCGCCCTCCCCATACGGACCGAGGCCCTGGCTGGGCCGAGACGTCCAGGAGCGACACCTCCTGGCCTGGAGGTGGGTCTGCCGACGGGCACATGCCCCGCACAGTCTGCAGAAGACGACCGACTCGTCCCTCCCAAGAGCCCGACCGCCCCCCCCCCTCCCGCGCCCCACGCCCACCCCGAATCACCCACGGCCCATGGGAGGGATGAGCGATCGCCGCGGGCCTGGGCTCGCCAGGGCAGGGGCGGCGACCAGTCCTCGATCGGAGCCCGTTCCTGGCCCCGCACCTGCTGCAGGCCCAGGACCTCCCAAGGCACCCCATGGCGTGGCCTTTGGACCCGAGACCAAGGAAAGCACCTGGGGCGGGCAAGGCAGGGGGAGGGCCGACCGATCGGGTCACCCCTCGCCTGCGGCCTTTTTCAGCACCGCGCCACGGTGGCGCAGGAGATTCGTCGCGGCGACAATCGCCGCGCTCGCGCGCCCGGCGAGCTCGCCGACCCCCCCGAAGTCGGAACGCAGATGGGCCCCCATCTTGGCCCTATTGTCGGCCTCGTGGTTGCCGATGTGTCAGTGGGCCTTCGCGCCCGCGCGCTCTGCTGCGGCCCAGCTGGCGCGGGCCCCGCTCCAGAGCTGCGCGCACTTGCATCCGGGGCCCCTGCACCAGCCTGGTCCCTTCCGAGAATCATCCACGCCATTCTTGCAGCCCGCGACCACGCATAGCTCGCCTTGGGCCGCCTCACGCAGCACTCGAGCCAGGGCGTAGAACTCAGCGACGCAGATCTCCTGCGCGACTCCAGGGACCGCGCCCATCAGGCCACCGACGATGCCCCCGCCCTCCGCGGTCATGATGCCAGCCCAGCCCGCCCTCATGAGCTCGACCAGCTGCGGGAAGAATGCCGACCCGTCGACGCAAACCGTGCCCGAGAAACCCCCATGCCGCCGGACGCCCGCTCAAAGGCTCTGCTCGCCCCCAGTGGGGACTGGCGCCGCCTCCAGCCCGAGCGGGACGAGGCGCCCCACGAAGCCCATGTCCGCGGCGTCAGCTGCTGCCCCATCCCCGCGCACGCCCTCCAGGCCCATGTCCCTCGCTACCAGCGCCGCGCCGTCGCAAGCGAAGAGCCTGCGGTGGTGGGAGCCCAGGCCAGCGTCACACCATTGGCAATCGGCCGAGGTGGCGGCTCGCTCCGCACACAGGTCGGCATGGGAGACCAGCCCGCCGCACACCAGGCTCTCGACCAGCGCTACCTGCCCCGCGTCGCCCTACGCCCTCAGCACCTCTAGCGCCGCCCGCACAGGGAACGTCGCGGGCGGCCCTGCCAGCTGCCCGTGGAAGTGCGCGGGCACAGTACAAAGAAGGGATATGCGCACTCCCCGCTCGACCAGCGTTCTGACCATCCTCGGGCTGCGGGACATCAGGTCGACCGATTCTCCACTGTCAGTGACCTACACGTCCCACGTCTCCGCGGCACACCCGACGCGGCCTAGGCTGAGGCGCACAGCACCCGCAAGCCCCGTGACCTGGTTCCAGCGGGCTGGCCGCGCCGCCTCGAAGACCTCGCGCATGCTGGTCCCAGGCCTGAATTGGGCGAAGGCCACCTTGGCCCACGCCACCAGCGGCGCGCAGTTCGCCGCGTCGGCGGGGCGTTGGCGCCATTCTGCCCAGGCTGGATAGCGAGCTGCAGCGTCCTGCTCCTCCTGCCACGGCCGCCTGCCACCGCCTTGCCGTTGGCGGTCACGGCTTGGCCGAGCACCTTGGACGGAACTCCCGCGACTCGGGCGCCACGGAGGATGGTGGCGAGGCCACTGCACCTGAAGACGGCCCCGAGCTTGGCCCCCGCTCGCCTCGGCTGCACGCAGCGAGGCGCCCTCAATGTGAGACGCCCCAACCTTCCTCGAAGCACTCCCCACGAGGCTTTGCCGCCGAGCGAGAAGTCGATCCCCGGGTTCTTGGCCTCGCGGCGGCACCTGAAGCCCCGCTTCCTGAGGCGGCGGGCCGTCCTTTTGCCAGCCTCGACGTCGCTGGGCACGATGACCCCTTTGGTGCCCGAGATGAAACCGTCCTGGCAGGGCCACCTGGCGAGACAAGAATACCGAACTCCACGTCCCTCAGACGACCGTAGGCCGCCGGGGCGACGTCATCCACGACCAGGTAGGCACGGACGTTCAGCCAGCTCTGCATGAGGAGGTCCATGGCCGAGAGGAGCATGGCCTTCAGGAGGGTCGCGGCGCACGCGCAGCCCGCTACGATCGAGGTCCATAGCGAGAAGACCTCGGTCACCCACTTGCCCAGACAGAGCCTGCGCCGTCCGCCACGCGGGCGGAGGCTGAGCTCCAGGCGCCGCACGCGGAACCCATGCCTCCGCGCTGCAGCCGCCAAGCCTGCATGTCGCACCCGCTCGCAAGCCTTGGACAGGTTCAGCATCGACGTCATCGAGTGATGCCCCATCGCCGCCGCCATGTCGGCGTCGAAAGCCTGGAACCAGACTGCGTCCTCGCATCACTTGCCCTCGCCGCCGTAGACAAACTCCCTGGGGAGCCGCTGCCTCTCCCAGTCCTGGGCTTCGCCTCGACGCATCTTTCCCAGCGGGCGGACCAGGCTGCTGAGGAGCCCAGTGGGGCACCAGCCCCCCTCCGCCGTCGCCAAGAACAAAATTCAGACCATGTCGAGCTGCCCCAACGCGACGAGGCCGTCATCGCTCAGGTGGCCGAAGGACTGGGGCTTGATGCACTCGACCCCCGTGGTCGTGGACCCCTTGAAGGCAGCTGCCGCCTTCCTGATGTCATCAGGCGAGGGGGGCGGCGCAACTTCCTCCAGGACTGCGTCGGGGAGCACATCGTCGAGGCCCAGCGGCAGCACCTCGCTCTGGCGCCAAACCTCCTGGTACTCGCCCTTCAGTGCGTCGAGTGTGGCTGCGGTCCCCGCTGGCCCAATTCGCCCCACCGCGATCGGGCGCCCCGACCAGCGCCGCCTTGCAAAAGCGATGCGCAGCCCCTGCACCATGTTGCACTGCCTCACGCGCCCACTCGCGCCACTGCTGACACCGCTTCTTGCCGCAGCGGTCCTCAAGCTTCGCCGCGAGCTCACGAGCCTCCTGCTCCAGCGCCTGCAGCTGGCTATAGCCGAGGTGGCTGAGCATGTGGAGCTGGCGCTTCCACTTCCGAACCTCCTCCTCCTCCTCTGACATCAGGTCGCCCCCCGGGTCCCCAGCCGCCAGCGAGCCCGCCTTGGCACGCAGGGTCTGCAGCTGCCCCAGCGCCTCGGGGATTGCCGCCCTGTCGTCAGTCTTCGGCGGTAGGCGAGCATCTCCCAGATGACGGCGGCAACGCGCCGCCGCCGAGCGGACACTGGGCACCCTCTGGGGTGAGGCCAGTTTTCCGTCATCCGCATGTTCTTCTCCGCACTCCGCATCGCGGCCTCGCGCCCGACGTAGAGGCGGGAGCCCTCTGGCGCCACGCGGTACAGCCCGGGCAGGTCGGCCTCCATCCGCTTGGCAAACTCCCCGTACAGCTGGTTCACCATGTCATGCTGCCCCAGCTGCAAGTGCTTCGCCCCGACAGCGGCCGCCCTTGCCGCGGGCGAGGCTCGCGGCGGCGCGGGGAAGGGGTCGTGACGCTGCAGGGCTGAATCCCGCCGCCCTTCCCCCGGCAGGAGCTGGGCTGGCAGCTAGGGTCCGAGGCCGGGCCACGCGGCCGAGTCCGGCTACCTACCGCCGCCAGCCTTGTCGCCTGCCTCCTCCTCCTGCGTCGCCTGCCTGCTGCTGCCACTCCGCGTCCGTGCCGTCGATCACGTCCGTCCTCCTGGAGCGGTTGGGCGGTTGCCCCTGGCTCGGCTCGGGGGCGGAGGGTCGGGGTGCCCCCAGAGCTGCACCCCCCCCGCCCAGGCCGACGCGCCGCCCCTCCAGCCACTTGCGGCCCCGCCCACGCTGCCCCCCCCCCCAGCAGCGGCGCGCTTCCCCAGCCGATCGCCG